ATTAATGAAAATCTGACACAGTAGTAATTTAAGCAATTTACAAAACCATAATAAGAAAATTGTTTGGAGGAGATACAAGACGCTTACTTGAGGAGTATGTTCCCACTGTACTAGCATGCCCTTCAGCATGGTATGGTATGCCTGTACAGTAGGAACACACCCCTCAAGCAAGTGTCTCTCCTTTGAGCATTATTAAAATTATGCTTTTCCAATTTAGTGCCAAGTCAGATAAGCACTGCAGTTTCACAAATTGTTATATCCACTTAGCACTATGAAATGTAATTTTTTTTAAAAAATGCCCTCATATATGTATGTCACTTTAGGGCATACCTACTACTGCCCTTTGGATCAATACAGGTGATTACACATGCCGGGGGGGGGGAAGTGTTGTGAGTAGAATCGCTACAAAGAAACACAACCCCTTCCAACCAAATTAGAAGCCCAAGAAATGCTTGTAAAAAAAGACTGGGAATACTTGTGATTACCTATATACTGTGTAGTTAATGGAAAATACATTGAATTTAACCATGCAAACTCTGACACAAACCGTTGCACTGTAGTTCTAGCCTGGGTTTGAGCTGAGCGAGTGTCCTTTGCTTAGCTGTTTCTTGCAGAGTGAATCCAGCAATGATTCGGCCCCACAGAGTGAGGGCACAAGAGCTTCAGGCTCAGAGATAGAGACTCTATCAGGGTTATGGTGATGGATCCAGAATCAGAGCAGCAGAACTGAAGCTCCAAGCTTCGGATAGAGTTCCCCAAAGGTGAGACCAACACTATGTGAGACCAACAGCTCTGCCCCCTCTTAGCCTTCCCATCAGCACAACCCTGCCTTGGGAAAGCGTTCTGCTGATGCTCGCATCATGGCACCTAGTATGTGTGTCGGTCATTGCTGGTGTAGCTCTGGCCACTCACCACTCCTGCTGATGTTTCTCCCGCAAGTGTAGCTTCATCAGGCTTCAGAGCTGAAAACTCTGCCACGTCATGGAGAAGCAGCAGCACCCACAGCCAGGAACAAACTTCTGCAAGCTAGCTAATACGTTTGTTCAGAATAGCGGCCTTGCACACAGGTGTGCATAAAGGCCCACTCCCAACTGCACCTCAGCGTGCACAAGGGCCGCAGGAGGAGTAGCTGGGACCCAGGAGCTGTTTCTGTCCCCAGGGGCTTCGCCATGGTAAAAGGGCCTCTTGCAACCTGGGGGACGTGGTGGTCTTCCTCTCTCGGCCGTAAAATGGGAGACAGGCAGTGCGGAGCAGGTGAGGACGACAAAGCCGGCAGGTGGGAACAGACCTCACCCGCAGCTGCTCTGTGCATGTGTGCGTTACACATGCCTGTAGAGATGGGGAGGCAGAGATGTTGGGAAGCACAGCCGCCTGGAAGCACATGGGGGTCCCGGGGAAGGACTGCCCCTGCAGTGGCGGCAGCTCTCCAACCCAGTAGTAGGCAAAAGACACAGCGGCTCCCCTTTCTATCTAGGGTGAACAGCTCTGGATACCCAGCGTGGCGCAGCCGTAGGGGACCAAGTGACTGACCAGGACTCAGGAGGCCTGGGTCTGGATCCCTGTGCTGCCACGGAAACTCAGAAGGTGATGGTGGATGGAACTGGTCAAGTCACCCTTACATATCTCACCTACCTTGAAAGCCCTGCCAAGAGTGGTTCTAAGTCTGTTCTGACTTGATGGGGCAGACCACACAAAACCTCTCCGAAGACCTTGTCAGCTGCTGGATGCATAAGCATTGGACATGAGCAAGGAAGCAAGCAAGCAAGCAAAGAAAGAAAGAAAGAAAGAGAGAGAGAGAGAGAGAGAGAGAGAGAGAGAGAGAGAGAGAGAGAGAGAGAGAGAGAGAGAGAGAGAGAGAGAGAGAGAGAGAGAGAGAGAGAGAGAGAAAGAAAGAAAGAAAGAAAAAGAAAGAAAGAAAGAAAGAAAGAGCAAGCAAGCTACAAACTCAAGATAGAGAGGAATTAGAGGCAGAAAGGGGTCTTTCAGTATTGCCCCTCTGAGGTATCTGTGGTCCCCTGGCAAGGTGTTGGATCCCAGAAGGTAGGGCCTTTCTGCAGGCCTGACCCAGGACAGGGAGGTGATCGGCCTGCTCCGTCCAGGTTTTCCCCTTGGCCACCAGACAGAAAGGAACGGCGCGGTATATACTCTATATAGCAGAGAGGGCAACCGAAGAGCTTCCCGTCCCTGCGCCGCCATGGAAATGGAGGGGGTGGGGTGGGGAATGTTACCGGTGGCAAAACCGCTCCTGGAATATCTCGCTTACCTTGAAAGCCCGGTTAAGATCGCCCTAAGTTGGTTCCGCCTCGACAGCCGGGGCGGCGGCGCTCACCGCTCGTTCCCTCGCTCGCTCCCTCTCGGGTCCTTCCTGGGTCAAAAGACCGCAGGGAAAGGGGCCCGAAGTGGTTAATGCAGCCACTCTCGGCGTGCCAAAACCGAGAGGAGGGAGGGTGTACGTGTGCGCGCGTGTGCGCGAACGAGGCTTTTCGTTGTTCCTCTCCTCCGAGGACAAAGGGCCTCTTCCGACGACAAGGTGGGCGGCCCCGCAGGTCCAGCCATCACCTGTAGACAAAAGGCGGGGGGGGGAAGGCGGGGGGGCGCTTTTTCGGAGGAGCCTTTGTTCGCAGGACACGCAGACTTAAGTCGGTTTCATCGTCAGTGACAAGCGGTAACAGTGTGCGAGGACGGCGGCGTTTGGCTATCCCCAAAGCTCTCCATCCGCCGGGGCGCCGTAGCAGACCTCTCGGCTTGTGCCGGGGGCCGCGTTCCGCCTCACCCTTGGCACGCGGCGCCTTGCGGTGGATCGGGCCCCGGACCCCTGGAGGGGCTTCGATCGCGGCGCCGGGCGAGGGGGCCGAGTGAGGGCTAAGGATGGGGAGGGGAGCG